TACAAATAAGATGATGTGAATTACAGAATGTACAACGTTTTTTAAATGTATCAATTGCGGTGTACAGCGTTTATTATGAGGGGGTAGAATCCACAGCTCAGTACTCACTACTCAATACTCATGAGTACTTTTAAATAGGCTACTCTTTTACTCTTACTCAAGTAGTTTTTTGGACAAGTACTTTTACTCTACTCACACTACATTTTTTGGAAGGTAATGGTACTTTTACTTGAGTATATTTTTTCAGTACTCTTTCCACCACTGTAGCATACTCCTCCCTTGGTCTTCAGAGCCCCATAGGAGTCAGAACCCATTCCATTCGGGGCGTGGCCTCGTCCTGGGCGTGGTCTAGCAGTTGTTTGTGTGTCAGCCGGCTGGGCCTTGCCGTCCACTTTCACCAGGTTCTATAACTTGGATGTTCCGGCCTAAGGCAGTCTAATTCTTCAGGCATTGCCTGTTTATTCAGGTACGCTCTTGGCCCTTTCAGTAGTGCTGAGGCTTTACAAAACCGTTGGAACGATTATCCAAGGCTGGGCTGACCTCAGTGAGTTCAGCTTCTTGCCTCCTGCAAGGTTCACCCTGCGTATAATTGGTCCCTCTGAGCCTTTTATGCTCAAGGCCAGTTCATGTCAGTCGTTCTTCTTTCATGACACGGCGGGATTGTATTGGTTCCCCATAGCGTCTAGCGACGTAGTACGAGTGAAGTATCGAAAGGGAACGTACTCGGTTACTTACGTAACCTCGGTTCCTTGAGATACGGGAACGAGTACTGCGTTCCTTGCCGTGCCATAACGCTGCACGACTCAGTGTCGTCACTTCATTCAAATTTACCTGAGATCCTATGTTGAAATGCCCGCTTATATAGCCAGATGGCCCCACCCATTCTGGCGGGCTCTGGCGGGCTTCGTCGCCATAGGCTCCTTGGGTGCCGCTGCCGAGCCATTGGTTAGTTTTTTATTTACTGCACGAACCAATGGCCGTGCAGTTACCCTGCGTGATTGTAAAGGCTTCGGTCCTCGGAGAAAAATGAGTTTTTCCCCATAAGCGTCTAGCGACGCAGTACGAGTGAAGTATCAAAAGGGAACAAGAGTAGCACAGCCAATGTCATGCCAAATATTCGTTTTTTTTATGTTTGTTGAACTGATATATTACCTGATACAAATGACAAAATATTAGTTTATTATTCTCATTCATTCATTTATATAATTTTAAGTTATTGTTACCTACCAATTTGACTGTCAGGCTAGTATACCCCACACTATAACAAACAAACAAACAAACAGACAAATAAATAATTGACTTGAGTAATGATGCTGAAAATTCAAATTAGTCATCACAAGAATAAATTACATTAAAAATATTTTAAAATATATTAAAAAAAAGGAAACTGTTATTTTATTTTAAAGTGTAATATTACACTTTTTTTTACATAATTTTAAATCAAATAAATGCCTTGGTTGACATATGCCGAGTCATTGGTTCGTTTTTTATTTATTGCACGAACCAATGGCCATGCAGTTACACTGCGAGATTGTGAAGGCTTCAGTCCTCGGAGAAAAAGGAGTTTTTCCCAATAGCGTCTAGCGACGCAGTATTCGTTTCCCGTATCTCATTGTACATGTTGTGTAATAAATATTCCGATACCTCTGCTATTAGTCAGATGTTTTAATGTTTATCTGGAAACATTTCCACTGGTAATATGTTTTAATATGTTTTATTCTGTGCAATTATCTTTTTTTTTTTATTCTCAGCTTCCCGAGCTAAACCTCACTCCTCACTCAAAACCTCAATCTAGACAGATCAAGCTTTTTATTTTTATTTTTTTTTTAGCATGTTTTAAATCAGATTTTTTTTTACCAGATCATCATCATCTGTGCTCAGATGCAATTATCTCTAGACAAATTATAAGATAACATAAAATACACAAATGATCAGCTCAGTGTTCACAATTTAATGAGTTTCTTCTCTTTGTGATTTAGTGCTGATTTCGAACATCTACTCTCGACATACTGAAGGTGAGTCAATTTGATTCATGTATTTCATCACATACAGGTGCATCTCAATAAATTAGAATGTCGTGGAAAAGTTCATTTATTTCAGTAATTCAACTCATTGTGAAACTTGTGTATTAAATAAATTCAGTGCACACAGACGGAAGTAGTTTAAGTCTTTGGTTCCTTTAATTGTGATGATTTTGGCTCACATTTAACAAAAACCCACCAATTCAGGTGAGGTGTTGAGATGCACCTGTATAAGTGATCCTGCAGTAACTTACAAACCAGCTGAGAGTTGAGAAATGAGTGTTACATTTTGTTATGATTATAAACGCACCATTTTAAGACTGAGGTGTGACAACAAATGAAAATGAAATCAAAGTGCAGTAATTATTAAACAATGAGAGGACAAGATTTTCTGCTGAAAATCATTTAACACTCAAATGTGATGTTTCCAAATTCTCTATGACTTTATACTGACAGATATTCCCACACCAACTCTGACTGTTGAGCCACAGAGTTTATTGTTCACTGGAGACTCAGTTACTCTGAGATGTGAGGTGGATCAGTCACAGGATGGATGGGAGTTTCTCTGGAGTAAAAACTCAAACACTGAATCTACTGAAGCTGCAAATAAAACAATCGATTCGGTGAAAGTCTCTGATGGAGGAGAATACAGGTGCAGAGCGCGAAGAGGAGGATATTTCACAGATTACAGTGAACCAGTAACAGTGATAATATACGGCAAGTATTTTCATCAAATAATGATCTGCTCAGAGAACACAATGAAAATAATTCACAAGACACTGAATAAGTGACTATAACAGCTAGAGAACAACTCTTCAGCCTAACCTGATTTAGCATGCGTGTTTTAAAATCAAGAAACTGATCATATAGTAAAAACAGCACATTATGTTCATTGTAAATTGTTGTCGTTGTACAGAAAGACCAAAAACCAATGTGACAATTACACCTGATCAACATGTATTCAGAGGAGAGACAGTCACTCTCAGATGTGACATTGATGGTGAAGCAGTCACTAGCTGGAAGTACAGCTGGTATAAAGATGGTTCAGTCAGTGTTTTCAGTGAACTACAGGAACATACATTCTGGTATGTTACTGAGTCTGACGCAGGTAATTACTCCTGTTATGGAGCAGAGAGAGAAGGATCACGAACATCAAACATCAGTGATGCAGTTACACTGACAGTATCAGGTGAGTTTCATCTTCTCTTCATATATACACACACACGTTTACACGTGGTTAATGAGCGATGTCTCTATTTCAGATAAAGCCAAGACAGTTTTAAGTGTTTCTTCACAGAAGTGGTTGACTGAAGGAGATCCAGTGACTCTGATCTGTGAGGTTAAAGGCTCCTCTACAGGCTGGACATTCAGCTGGTACACTGAAACTGTTTCATCAGGTAAGATATAGTGTGCTTCATGTGATAACATCTTAATTAACTGGTTTCATCAAAAAATATTATAGAGATTAAAAATCAAACAAATAAACTAGTCTGAATACATTGATTATACCAACAAAGGTAATTTAAAAGTCTCATGTAAATATAACTTCTCTTTTCTTGAGGTAACTCTACACTTTCACTTTTTACAGACTACAGAAGTCATCATTATAAGCTACTCTCAGACAGCAGCAGAGGAGCTGGAGGAAACTACACTGTCAGTTCTGCTGCTCTGAATCACACAGGAGTTTATGTGTGCAGAGCAACGAGAGGAAAACCAGCCTATAGCACATGGTACAGCAACACACAGTTAATATGGGTCACTGGTGAGTTCAAACTGAATTCAAATTGAATTGTGTCAATGGAGAAAGATGCTTTCACTACTAGCAGGGGTTAAATCAATGGTGGAGGCAGGGGTCAGCAGCAACTCGGGGTGGCACAGACATTTTCATTATTTCAGTGAAAAATTAGTTTAACAATAATGTTCTGGACTGTTTTATTGCCCACAACACAACTGAATACAATTAATTTGTACTTAACTGAATTGAGATAATGGTGGATTAAATCAAATAATTAAATAATAATGGTTTCTCCGAAGGTTTTTTCCTCCAGTACTAACACTTCATGAAGTTGTCTCAGTTGTCTTCTGCTTGCTTGCTGATGGCATAATTACAAATATGTTACAAATATGTTATTTTGTTTTGAAACAAAAGAAGTGTACATTTTGTAAAGTGTTACGTATATCAATAAAACTGTCTTGATTTCCAAATTGTAGCTGTAATTGTCTTCTCAGGTGTTTCTCCTCCAGTCTCTCTGATCGTCAGTCCCAGCAGAACTCAACACTTCACATCTGTCTCTCTCTCTCTGAGCTGTGAGGACCAGAGTAACTCTGATAGATGGAGAGTGAGAAGATACTCAGACAGTTTGGGACTGTTCGATTGTTCATCACGCTGGGGATCACAAACAGGATCTACATGTACAATTAGCTACACCGTCCCACCATACACTGGAGTGTACTGGTGTCAGTCTGAATCTGGAGAGATCAGTCATCCTGTTAATATCACTGTACACCGTGAGACTATATATATATTTTTTTTTTCATTTCTGATTATTTTTTTTTATTATTTTCATTTACAATCAGTACACAAAGCAGTTGATTAAACAAAAACAGGAAGCATCAGTCTGCACTACAAACATACAAACACTCAATGGGCAAGACATACCAAAAATTTAGTTTTGTAAGAAAATGTAAAAATCTTTATTATTATTATTATATTTTTTGTTACCATATAGTTGCCATATACTATTTACAATCAGCACACATTTCCTCTGTTTCTGTAGCTGGTGTGATTCTGGAGAGTCCTGTTCATCCTGTAACTGAAGGAGATACGCTGACTCTACGCTGTTTATATCAACATTCAACCCCACCAAACCTCAGAGCTGATTTCTATAAAGATGGATCACTCATCCAGAATCAAACTACAGAGATGATCATCTCTACTGTCTCAAAGTCACATGAGGGTTTCTACTACTGCAAACACCCAGAGAGAGGAGAGTCACTCAAGAGCTGGATCTCAGTCACAGGTGAGACTGTACATCAATAAACACTAATAAAATGTTTCTGTATCATTTACAGCACTCATCTAAATGTAAAATCTACTGTATGTATCTCAGCTTCCTCTAGATCTGATGGTCTCAATCCCATGATAATTGGAGTGACTGCAGGACTGACTGTCACATCTTTGATCATTGTCCTCTTGGTCCTGCTGTGGTACTACAGAAACAACAAAGGTTCATCTTTTGCCATATTAAAATTCAGTGATACATTTGCAGACACTAACTCTGCCTAAGCTGGTTACCTGGTCTTAACTCCCAGAACTGGTTTAAAGTTTATTTTTTATTATTTGCAACTGTATCAATTATTTCAATCTGATTATTATTCATTGTTACATCATGTTCTCATGGCTGCCTGTGAGAGAAGCTTTTTAAAACTACCCTTCCTCTGGATTGAGCCTTAATCTGCAACAAAACCAACATTAAACCCCATTATGTTTGACTGATCTTTCCCACTGGATAACAACAACTGCTATCTGCAGAAATGTACTGATCTAAACTCCTGTTGCTCTTGAACTCTACAAGCTTAGCGTTATTCCTAAACTTTGTGAGCTTTTTGGCGGTTTTCAGCTGGTCAGGCTGAGAAAGCAATTTAAGCTCAGGTTTGTTATTTATTCAATGCTAAATAGTACTGATAAAAGTAATATTAAATATTCATATTATCTGCATTGAAATCAACCATGAGTCGACTCCTTCATCCTGTCAAATATTTGTATGATGCACATTTGCTGCATATGTAAAGCTCTTCAAATGAGATTTTTATCACGTTCACTCTCTGGAGGGAATGTAGACTCATGAGAGGGTGTGGAGGTAAGAAGTGCTGCTGATCTGTACACAAGCATCAGTGTCTTGAAACATGATATGGACAGCAACCAATAGCCAGTGAAAACAGACAAAGAAAGGGGTGACGTGGGCTCTCTTGGCCTCATTAAAGACCAGTCATGCTCCTGCATTCTGCATCATTTGAAGAGGTTTGATTGCACACGCTGGAAGCGCAGCCAGAAGAGCATTGCAGTAGTCCAGTCTAGAGATGACAAGAGTCTGGATGAGGAGTTGTGCATCATTTTCAGTTAGGAAGAGCCTGATCTTCCTGATGTTTTTCAGTGCGAATGTGGCGGGGCAGTGCAATTTTAAGGCACCAGCCCAAGTTGGTACTGGTAAGAAAATCGATCATTTGAAGAGGTTTGATTGCACACGCTGGAAGCGCAGCCAGAAGAGCATTGCAGTAGTCCAGTCTAGAGATGACAAGAGTCTGGATGAGGAGTTGTGCATCATTTTCAGTTAGGAAGAGCCTGATCTTCCTGATGTTTTTCAGTGCAACCCTGCATGTCTTTGAATGTCAGCTGGTCATCAAAGATCAACCCAAGATTTCTGACTGATCTGGTTGAGAATATTATTGATGATTGTAGCTGGATGGTGAAGTTGTGCTGTATCGTCGGAGAGGCTGGAAGACAAGAAGCTGTCTTTACTAGATTGAGTTGTAGGTGAGGTTTTTTTCATTCATGCAGACAGGTCTGTCAGGCAATCTGAGATTTGCATAGCTGCTGTGGGATCGACTGGTTGAAATAAAAAAAATACAGCTGCATGGCTTCAGCATAGCAATGGTACATATCACACTCCTATCGTAAAGCAGTTCAGTCCTTTATAATAAAAGGCTCAGTAAAGCTGTTATGTATTATCTGTGATGTTTTCCTGATTTACATTATGACCACATTAATCCACACTTATAAGTGTATATTCCCTATTCATTAGTATAAATCTCCTGACTTGTATTGCTGTAATGCTCTGTAGGCTTTTCTTATTTTGAAACGTCCATGTTTTTTAAAATAAAGAAACCTGTGCCTTTTGAAAAATATTGTGGAGCTGATGCTTTGTTAAAACATTCTTGCAGTGTCACAGTGAAAGCAAAATAACCACTCTTGCTGCAGTCAATCAGGTTCCCCTTCAGGAACTCGAGCTGCATCGAAACGCTTTGGGAATGCCTTCAGCGTGACCACGCTCTGAATCACGTGTGTAATCAGTCCAATGGATGGGTGAGACGTCACGGGCGGGCTGATGTAGAGACCAGGGGCCTCATTTATAAAATGTGCGTACACCGATTTGTTCTTAGAGTGTGCGTTTGCTAAAAACCACGGCAACGTTCATATTTATAAAAACGGTCTTTGACGTGGAAAAGTACTTACCGCCACGTCAGGGTCTGAGCAGGCGTACGCACTTTTCCTTGTGGCAAAGTCGGAGTACTGCAGCTATTTGAACATCTAAGCTGCAATAATAATAAAAGCGGTGTACGTGCAAGCACCGAATTCATCATGAATAACAAAGATGCAGTGTAAGAGATAAATTGTGCAGGGTAGTCAGATTTTTTATTATCGGGAGTTTTTGTGAGATTAAACTGACCTTTTTAGTAGCCTAATGTTGAGAGTTCTACTCGCTTTCTGTACACAGTTTAATCCATGTTTTTTAATTTATTATTATTATTTTATTTTACAAGAGAACTTGCGAAGTCTTGATTTACTACTAATGCGTAAAATAGAAAAAAAAATGCATAAACGCATCTCCGACTGTTTTGTCTGTGTAGCCTATAAGAATAGGCCTATGTCGTGCAATAACAGTTTTAATATATTCTATTCAATAACATTGTTAACTGTTTTTATTTATAACATCTGCTGCTTTGCTTCTGTGAAAATGAATAGAGACATCAGCCTTAAACTTTGTTTTTGTCATTTACATCAGTTATATTTGTATAAAATACACTATATATGTGTCAGTACATATAGGGGAAGTTGTGGCCTAATGGTTAGAGAGTTGGACTCGTAACCCAAAGGTTGCAGGTTTGAGTCTTGAGCAAGGCACCGAACCCCCAACTGCTCCGCAGCAAAAAATGGCTGCCCACTGCTCAGGGTGTGTGTTCACAGTGTGGCACATTTGAGCAGCATTAGTAAACTGTGTGAATATGACAAATCACATTACTTTCGGAAACCTAATTGTTTTATAATTAATACTATTATTATTATTATTATTATTATTTCTGCTGTTTCTAGAAGTAGTAATTTTGATAACAGATAATAGAAAAAATATTTTTTTTCCGTCAGCAGGACCTCAATTTCAGACTCAGTTTTTTTTTTTCTTTGCCTCATCATTCTCAAGCATAGAAATTTGGATATTGGCATGTGCTCTTTTATATGGTAATGATATTAATTAGGGCATCTACAAGGCAGAGATCTGACACCAGTCAGCTGTGCACAATTTCAAGATCATTTGCGATTTATAAATGCCACATCTGGAAGAGAGGCGTACGCGCGAGTTTTTGTGTGCACGTTCGTTTTCTCTGAATCGCACTTACGCACTTTTGAGAAATGATCTTAGAACAAATTTAGGACGGTTTATACACAACATTTTATAAATGAGGCCCCAGAAAGCTTAAAAGGGTTATTGGATGCCTATTTTCCACAAGTTGATATGATTCTTTAGGGTCTTAATGAAAAGTCTATAACATACTTTGGCTAAAATTTCTCAATGGTAGTGTAAAACAACACCCTTTTTACCCTGTCAAAATCAGCTCTGTTTACAGCAAGCTGTTCTAGTCCATATTGCTTTAAATGTTAATGAGCTCTGCTCGCCCCGCCCATCTCTTCTGTGGGGTGACGAGCAGACTGTAAACTTCAGCTGCAAAACTTGCTAACTAGCACATATTATGAAAAGTGATTTGCAAAGATTCATAAAAAAACCCTTATACTCGCTTCTTCTGTAGATGAAGCTCGATCATGAATGATTCGTGCGAACATAAACGCATTTAGGTAGATCGGGGATCGGCACATTCCCTTCAAAAATGAAAGTAATTTTAATCCGTCTTCAGCGACTCAGATGTCAGGAGTAAATGACGACTGCCATGTTTATTAATCCTTCCAACAACCTCAATCACTTAATCAAGATATCTTGTCTTCCCCTGCACCGGAGTCGACACAATGGCGGACAGCTCACAGCTCACTCAGGGCGGGTCTAAGGTAAAATGGACTTGTCAATCAACTATCGTGGGAGGGGCCTGTGCAGAACTTCGTCATTCTGACAGGAATCTCAGAACAGCCTGGTTTGAGAAAGGGAATTTTAAAATAGGGATTTAAAAAAAAAAAACAGTGTGGATTTTTATAATTATAGGGTGGATGTGTACGCACATTTCCAACACATATTTATGTTCAAACAATATATAAAGTGAATTTTGCATCCGATGACCCCTTTAACAAACCACCATAGATTCAAACAAACTGGTGAGGTAATGTTTAGTAAAATTGAGAACTTATGTCTAACTTCTATAGGCCTACTTATTCGAATTTTCGCTAGAACGGCCAAATGTAAACAAACATTATTTAGCTACGTTTTTTCTTCTGCATACCATAGATGAAAATCCTGTGGCCGCCCCAATTTTGTTGGTTAGTTTTAGAAGCTTTCTGGCCAGTTTTCATCTGGACAGGCTGGGAGCTTAAGCTAAAAATGTATTGATAAAAATATTCGTGTCATCAGTATTGTCACGTAGAGTGGAGTCCTCGTATTTGTATGATGCACATATTTACTGCATATGTAAAGCGCTCCAAATTAGTAACTTATTTAGTTTAGTTTGAGTTACAATAGAGCACAGCCTATGAAGACAGCAGACAGTGAAGCAACTTACTGTTTTTGAACAAATCTATAAAGTGGTAAATAAATAAAAGCATGCCACTAGGGATGTAACGATTCACTCACTTAAAAATGTCAGATCATACTCTTCAACTCACGATTCGATTCGATTCATGATTTTTTTTTTCAAAATGAGATTTAAGACAAATTATAAATTAAATGTGTCCTTTTATTCTTGCTTGGACAAAATGCTGCACGTTTTGTTGTGAAATTGAAATATAACACTATAATAATATACTAATATAGCACTTGCATATTACTGCTCTTTTGTTGGTTTTGATTGCTTCTATTGTCCGCATTTGTAAATCGCTTTGGATAAAAGTGTCTGCTAAATGACAAAATTTAAATATAATGTAAATGTAAATAACAAAACTAAATTGAACTTTTAAAACAAACCCCAAATAAAATAAATAACACAAATAAAATAAATCTCTTCATATAAACAAACTAAGGCTTTGTCTCTGCTCTTTCCATATTAAATTAGAGGCAACCACTGCATTTTAATCCTGATCCAAACAAAGATGCTGCATACATGCAACATGAGTAATTTTTAATCTAAATTAGATTGCATCATTTCGAAATTTGAAGCAAAAACAGAATGGTTTGACTTCAGTTTTGTGAAACTATACATAAAAAATATCTGCATGAAACAGAAACAGCAGACGAGCTGAATGAGAGGCAGATTCACTCTCTGCCAGCAGGTGGCGCTTAAAGCGTTTCCTGGTTTCCGCTGTAAACAAAGCAGCGCTGCACTTATGAACTTTAATATGCATTATACAGAGGTAAAAATACCATCTAAACTTTTCTAAAGACAGTAAGTTCCCCTCAGACATACATTCATATAAACTCCTGCCCCTAAATGAATTGCGATTTGTTTAACATCTCAACCGATTTGAATCGTCACATATTTGAATCGATTTTCAACCGGCTCACGGTTAATCATTACATCCCTACATGCCACTAAACACTCTGTCATTCTCAAACATGTATGCATGAAGGAGATTAAAAGTTAGTTTTAAAACATTTGCATAATCATTGTGTGTTTGACTAGGTGTAAGATCTCAGTCTCCATCTAGTGTCAGTCAACAGCAGAACAGCAGTCAGCCATCAGAACAGACCCAGAGTCAAGCGGGAAACAACACACTGCTGTCTGGCCAGTCTTTAACCATAAAGAAATACATATAAATCTTTCCTAGTGGGCAATTGACGTTTAAAAGATGTCAGTTTGACATCAAAAACAGGTCAAATATGCAATTCAAAGTGATGTCAAAAACTTGACATGACATTGATTTGATGTAAATTGGCCGTCGAACATATTGGCCTGTATATACATCAAACCAATTTCAGTGTGGGATTAACTTCCTATTTTCACCCAATTACCACTGGAATAAATTGCAGTCCAAACTGAATTAAAAATTATGTTACAGCATCTTGATCATGTCTTGACTAATATTTGATGTCAAATTGATATCAAGGTGCCCGCTGGGTTACAAGCTGAACACACTTAGAAATAACTTTTAACTAACGGGACTGATCTCACAACTAAATTACTAAAAAACAGTTTAACATGATATTTGTATATTTCAGCTGTCATTTCATTATCAAAAACTGCAA